TGCATTGGGTATGTGAGTAATCGAAGAGGTCAATGACAATGACAATGGACCGCACGGGTGCGTTACTGGACGTGAGCCCTTTCCAATGATATATATACCAATGATATATAAACCAGAACAATAACATAAAATAATAATAATAAGAAAAACCAGAACAATAACAATATATGTGCCACCTATGGTGGCACATATATTGTTATTGTTCTGGTTTTTCTTATTATTATTATTTTCCTCACCCCCCTGAGCACAGTTCACACACTTCCCCCTGACGAAAACTCACGAAATTTTGCACAAAATTCAAGATCGCCAAAATAGGAATTTACAATTATGGTCCACATCAAAAAAAAAAAAAAAAAAAAGGCTCAACAGCGCCCCCTGCAAAATCAAAATACATTGCGCCTATGGCTATACCCGAAAAATCAACTTTGTCGTAGACAAACGAAATTCGGGTGGTGGATAGGTCTGGTCGTTCCAAACAAAAAAATATATTACGCGGTTGCTAGGCAACCAACAGGAAGTCAGCCATATTGGACCGATCGAGCGATACGGCGGCGAAGGCGTGATTTCCTGTCCTCGCATTTGAACGAACTCGTCCTCGGGCGTTTGACCCAGACTCACCAGAATCATTCTGTATCATCTAGACAAGTGGGACATTAAAAGTTGTTAAAAGCTTTTTTTTTGCCTTTTTTGTACGATAATGTCTAAGTTTCGGCGTAGGGCTTGGTTTTGACATTATGGTTAAACTTAGTCAGGGGTCTCCAACCTCCAACAGGAAAAGAGACGCACTGGTGTTTGTAATCCAAATGAAAGTAAAAACCACAGGCGTTACTGCAGTACCAACAGCGAGACTGCTCTAATTAATGAAATTAATTTAAAAGTCTGTCAACTGTTTTGCCACTATTAATCAACTGTAAATAAAATCTAACTGTTTTTATCAATTTTATGGGAGCAAATTAAATGTAATTACAGCATTCTGGTGCATTTCATATGTAGTATTTTTAAATGAGCAACCTACAGAATATTGTTTATTTTTACCCTCTTGGGCTTAATTAAAATACATCTGGCATTGCTCGATTGGGGTTTGATTTTCTTTGGTGCTTTCCACTCCGAAACAATCACAGTCGGCTTAGTTCTACAAAAGTCAATATTGAGTACTATAAATAATTACCAGCATTTCACAATATTCAACAGTAAAATTTCACAGTAAATTGCCATATTGTCACTTTACAGTATTTAACTTTAATGTTGACAGTATGAGACTGTAATTTTGAAGTTCACTATAAAAACACTGCTATCACAGTAAACTACTGTATTATTTATTTTTTTACTTATTATCAAGGTTTCACAGTATTTTATTGTATTATTTCACCACAAAATACTGTATTAGCGGCCATTTCCATTACTGCAAAATTTATGGAGTAAGAAAGCTTTCAAAATGTTCGCGCACATAGTATAGAAATCCGTGCATATTTGGGAAATCCATGCATGTTTGGCTGTAGTTGTGCATAAAATAAATATTTGTAAACTCTCAAATGAATACAGTCGTACATAAAATGTATTGTATGTATTTTATCCATCAGAATACGAATTGAAAAGTTGCGACATCAAGAATTACAATTACGAAATGAAAATTTACGATTACGCTTTCATCAGTACAAATACGAATTCACAGACGGAATTTTACTGTCAAAAATATGTCATCACTTCACAGACATTATTTATCGAGCAGTAGAAACATCGATCAAGATCAAGACTGCGCATGCTCAAGTTAGTAGCAGAGGTAAAAACAGAGTAATAGCACAAGGAGCTACAACAGGGACCAACAAGTGGGTTAATTAAAATTTATTGTAAAAATGTCTTGTCTTGCCACATTGAATTCGGGAACCGGACGCTGCTTTGTGATATTGTGTAGAAATACGTCCTCTGAATGGGAAATTGCACCTATATCTTAGTAGATAACATAGTGGAGCCAGCTGGCGAACATCAGACGTAACGTTATCCCAGGGCTAATTAGCAGTGTGCAGTGGAGTCTAAACCAGGACTGAACCAGGACAAACCAGGGCTAATCTTAGACCTGAGAGGGAGAGAGGGGGAACACGGAGCCCGCGGAGCAGGAGTCCGTAAAGCGCGATCGGGAGACAGCTGCACGTAGCCACGAGGAGCGTGGAGCTCGGAGCCAATTCATTCACCTGCGGTCACCTCTGGACCCCTCCCGACACTGGTTCAGTTCTGTTTTAGTCCTGTTTTAGTCCTGTTTTAGTCCTGGCTCAGTCCTGGTTTAATCCTTCTGGTTCAGTGCTGGTTGCGGACTGGAAATTACAAGACTAGAAATTACAACCGAAAGCCGCTCAATGGTGTTAGCAAAACGGAGCTTAAGCACAAGCTGAAATAGTTGAAATAGCACTGGTACGAGTGGGATAGTGTACAAGGCGGTATGGACAGGTACACGACGTTACTTTATCAAGACTGAAGGGTGACAGGACAGCACTTTCTCCATACGGCTGCAGCCTCACCACACTTGCCACTAGCAACAACAAAGTTCTTGCTACCATAGGATAGCAATCGAAAGTCTCTGACAATAGCAACATGCTTGTCGTTTTCACACCCACATACCCAGGCAAAACACAGCAAATTACATGAACCAGACCTGCCACTGTTTTTTGTTGTTGTTTTTTTTCAAATATTAATGGTTTGTAGTAGACTTGATGTTACCCGCCCAGAGGAGAACAGAGACAGAAATTATTGTCAAGGTAATTTCTCCTCATTTTCCACCTTTGTGTTCATTCCATATTGACATTTTAAACAAGTGTGATGATCGTCATATTAATTATTTTTATTCTCTGACGCCTTTGTTTCTACACAGTTACATCGAGGGACACCCACCACTTGTTTTGGTCAGTATCTGAGTCAGTTCACACAATGAGCCAGCCCTGGTCCACACAGGTATGAGTTTGAAGAGTACGTCACGACAGGAAGCAATTAAAGGCGCGCTACTTTTAACATAAGAAAAAACCCTGCAGAACAATTTCACTGTTTGCGCTACACTGCAAAATACTATATTCTACACTGTAGTGCTTAAATTCTAATCTGATATTGGCATCGTAATCTTCTGTTTTGTATAATTACGTCAGATGCCTTTTGACAGATGTTGCAGAGGTTTGGAAAGACGCGATTGCAACTTCCGGTGTAGTTCCCGACGTTGGACTTACTGCCGCGAACAGAGCCCGCCGGAGGTCTTCCTAGTTTGTGTCGTGAGCGTGAATCGAGCCTGTTATGATTTCTGATTTCTTCTTTGGCTTAACTGTTGCTTCGCTGCTGTTTCTTTTTCTTCTAGTTATTTTGAGCTCTTGGAAGGAGTTAAAGACCGTTTTGGGGCTGGTTTGAGTGCACTGGTGCCTGACGTTCAAAGGTGTGTATGATGTTTCTTTGTCTGCTCTATTTTGCACGATAGGTTTAACACTCAAGCTGCATGCTTTGCTAGTCCCTCTTGTGGGCACTGTCATTTTCTTACTTTGTTGTGTGAGAACTCTGGCGATTTTCATACTGGTTTCACACTCATCTTCAGAGCTCAGTGTAGTGGAGTAGCTAAAGCGAAAGAAGGTTGGCGTGTTGATCTCATCTTCAAAGTTCCAGTCAGAATCATCTTGAGTCACAACAGAAGTCAAATTCTCTGATTGATGATCTGCAGTCTTAACCTTAGACTGGTCGCGTTTTTTCTTTGGAGTAATAGAGTTGGTAGGATTGAGGGAGGTGATGACTGACACTTTCGAAGATCCCTTTTTCATAGTGGCCTTTAGCGTAGCAGCCATTTTCTTAAACGTCTTCTGCGTGATAAACGGGTGTAACAAAGCTTCATTCGCGGTGAGCCTTTCTGTTGGATCCACCTTCAGAAGTAAACTCAGTAAGTAAAAAAACTGCCTGGTCTCCTCCGTTTCTACTTTGGTGATTGGCTTGGGGTGGAACGCCGACAAGTCCTCTAAACTGGTAAAGTTCTCTGACCAGTACCTACAGTGGCCGCTGGGCTCTTTTGTTTTGGCGGTGTAGTTCTGCGGTGTCTCCATGCAATTATATGCCATTTTGGTTAATAAAAAAATGGTGTGTGAACAGGCCATCTTCGAGTTGCTCGTAACTGGGCATACCTCGGAGCTTTGTGATAAGCCTCATTGACTGGTACTCGGTAAGAGGAAAGAGATTCCGGCCGCTGTACAAGAACGCAAGAACACAGCCAAGACTCCACATATCAGCTGTTAGGTCCACTTTTGATCCCAAGGACACTTCTGGAGCTCGGTATCCAACAGCCTGTATGACACAACCAGGAACTGTGTCTTTCACAGTGGTAGTAAAACCAAAATCAATTAGCTTGATTCTAAACGGTTCATGCTTTTGGTCAACCAGCATGATATTGTCTGCTTTGAGATCTCCGTGAATCAGTTCGTGCTTGGCCAGTTCTTTAAATGCTATCAGCAGCTGCTCGGTGATGTAGCGGATATCTGAAACGTGCAAAGGCTTGAACTTCCTGCTCTGCATGTAATCATATAAGCTCTGATCTAAATATTCCATGACCAGACAGTACATGTTCAAGTACTGGAAAGACTTAATGAACTTAATGATGTTTTTGTCTTTGCCCGCGCTGCTCAGCGTCCGGAGAATGTGTGCCTCGTGTTTGATTGCCCAGGATTTGCCGACATCAGACATTTTCATAGCCACTTCTGTATTTGTCAGCAGGTCTGTGCACAGGGCGACGCATCCAAAACCTGCCTTCTCCTTTTGAGTTCTTTACCCTGTACGAACCAAACTCACCCGAAATTGTGAGGTTGGATGAAGTCATCTTGCTATATTGTGTTTTTATAAAATAATTTGGAAAATGTTTTTAAAATGTGCCTTATTTCTGTTAAAATGGTAAACAGTGTAACTTTTTTATTTTTATTTTTTATTTATTTTTTTTGCTGTTAAAGCATTGACTGATTCTCCTGTTCTCTGTGCAGAAGCATCTGATAGTTCTAGTTTTCAGAGATGTAGATGACTTTAAACCTCTCAAACATCTCTATTTTCTTCTCCAGATGCTTCATGTCGGCCTCCAGGCGCTCCTTGTGGGCCCGTTTGGACCATGTGTCGATGACCATGGACAGGCACTGGTACTCGTGATGGATCCGGTCCCAGTTCTTCTTCAGGCCCTCGAGAATGTCCCTCCTCTCCTCCTCAGACAGCTGCTTCATGGCCTGCTTCTCTCTCTGCTCTTTCACGTAGTTGTCATAAAGCTCCTGAGCCTTCTGCTTCTCTTTGTTACGGTGCTGGAGATACGCCGGGACTTTACCAAAATCCTTCTTTTTAATGTACTTGGGGACCCGACCGGAGTTCTCCAGCTCCTCCCTGTGGCCCTTGTGGGTGTCTACGCTGATGGGCTTGGGTTTGGTAGTTACAAAAGTGCAGGTCTTTATGAAGTCTCGTTTGGTCTGGATGCCCATCGGAGGGATTTCTGTGCGCCTGGGAACAGGAGGCTTCCTCAGAGGGTTGATACGGCCTTCTTTTACCTTGTCTGGTAGTTTCGGCTCTTTTGAGTGTTTCTTGAGGAAATTCTCTGGAGAGGGAGCCTCTACTTTAGCGGGGCCCATCGTCCTCATAGGTCTCTTGGGAAGCTTCTCTTCTTGGATCACTGCTGGCCTGAACTTGGACACATACCTGGGAGGTCTCTCAGATTTGACCTCTTCCTTGGACAGAAGGTCGTAGACACTTTCTTGAGGACGGTAAACACGAGTGGACATGTTGGACGATCACAAAATGCACTTTGGAAAATGAGTTTTTTATTTGACCGCGCGGGTGAAAACAGTGTAACTTGTACTCGTATGCAGTGAGAATATGTGAACTTTGACCGTGTGACACGGCCTCACCAATTCAGATGTCTTTGAATAGTAGGTCGGCGCTTTGAACTTAAACGCATCATAAAGCCTTTGTGACTGTTGCCATGACTACGAGAATATTCTACTAATTTTTTTTTTTTCAAATTCTAGAATGTGATGATGTCATCTGTCGCCTAGCAACGGGCGGAATCCAGAATGTTCGAGGAAACAAAACAAAAGCAAATACAGGAGTAAACACGATCATAGGGTGCACTTATGGTGTATTCGATTATCCATCCGACTCAGAGGTCCAAGGACGTTGCCTAGCGACCCACACTGACACGCCCTTGACATACGGAACTCGGAAGAGCTCGGAGGAGACCGAGCGACGACTCCGAGACAGAATCCAAGATGGCTGTGCCCAGTGTCACTTTTAAATATGAACTGTTTTCATTGTGTTTGGACGCTTTTGTGGTTTAAATGACAATTTCAGCGTGGACGTGACATCATATCCGAGATCTGAGTGGGAGGCCGACGGATAATCAAACGCTAGGACTTTAGAACTGAGTCCAAGCACGGATAGCCCCTAAAGCACAGTTCGTTTGTCCAGTGTGAGTGTAATCAGAAAAAAAAAACAGGCCGTGGGACGCTTGAAAAATAAATGAGTTTGAGGATTAAAATATTTTATTTTTAACTTTTTTTTTTACTTTATATTTACATTTTTTAACTTTATATTTACTTTTGCGCTACAAATGGACTGAACCAGGACTGATCCCAGGACTGAAACAGGACTTAAAGAAGACTAAACCAGTCTCAGTCCTGGTCCCAGTCTGGTCCTGGTCTCTGTCTCGGTCTCAGTCCCAATCTGGTCCCAGTATCAGTCCTGATCACCCGACAGTTTACACAGGCGCACCTCTGGGCCATGCCGACACTCAGTCCTGGTTTAGACCTAGTTTAGACTTGGTTTAGACCTGTTTTAGTCTTGGTTCAGTCCGTATGTGTCGCAAAAGTCCTGCATAAATGGCAATTATCAGTTTTTTCTATTATTAATTTAAACACAAAATAAAAAATTGAAAAACCAAATTTACATTTTGGTTTTGGAGACAAATAATGAAGAATATATATATATATATATATATATATATATATATATATATATATATATATATATATATATATATATCATTTTCTTATCTTTGGTTTTATTTGGAAAATGAATGAATGATACACGGATTAATCTGGTATCTACAGGTCCTCATTGTGGAAAATACACAGTGGTATCAGAACGGTGATTTGATCTGAGTACTTTCCGATACCAGAAAAATGTGGAGTACCTGTATCGAAACAACCCTACTCAGTATTGACTTTTGTAGATAACTAAGCCAACTGCCATTGTTTCGGGGTGGAAAGCACCAAAGAAAATCAAACCCCAATCGAGCAATGCCAGATGTACTTTAATTATTGAAAACACTGCAGGATGGGTCCAAGGATTGGGTCAAATGCCAATAATATATTCTACCAAATCTTCCAATAACTAGTGAAGGTCGACGGCTGCCCTAAAGCACGTTACCACTTTTTAAATGAATGTCCGCAGACTTGTGTTGACCCTGGAGATAAAGCAGGTCAAGTCTTTCACTTAAGCCCACTTCCAGCAATGAATTGATAAAGTGCGTGTCCATTCAGTCAATGAGCCCCCGGGACTGTTGCAGGAATATACAGCTGTCTTTATTGAACTGGAGTCCGGGACAGTTCTTTATCTCGGTCAAAGGTCACAGTAGTTCGAAGGTGATCACGGTTCGTATTGACTCTTGAACAAAACGTAATAATCCGTCCTGTAGTAGCTTAGCAGATAAAGACATTTGCAGTGGAACCCAAAAGTCTGATCCCTGCTTCCGGTCACGCAGCTTAGTTTAGTGTTTGGTTACTTAAGAGTCAAGATTGCCTTTGTTGCTAATGGAAAGGTGAAGCTCTTACTCAAAAGCCATGGACACAGAATTAGTTAACCTTCAGGAGGTGAAAAAGTGGCTTGATTTGATGGAAATAGAAAGTTAAAACCATACTTAAAAACATTCGCCATTGAAATATACTGTATATATGGTATTTTTTGGACGATAAGGCGCACTTAATTCTTTAATTTTCTCAAAAATCGACAGTGCGCTTTACGGATTAATTCTGGTTGTGTTTACTGACCTCGAACCGGTTTTATGTGGTACACGGCGCTCAAAAATCTGTCAAAATGTTTTAGTACGGCTTTGGTAAGCTACGAAGCCACAGCGCTTGATGGATTGTCAGAGTATTACAGCTACTGTAGTCAAGAGCCGTGCGGAGTAAGAGCAAGAGAGCATGTTTTTTTTTCAAAGCTTATAGTTTATGCAAATTAGACATGTGATTTTAAGTTTAATTTCTGTAAAATGTAAACAAATGTGAAGAAAATGTGAAGAATCCCTCGGTCGTCCAGGTAGAATCCATGGCGAGGAGAAAATTCAGTTTGTCGACTAGACAAAAGTTAGTTTGGTTGAAGACGTTTCGCAGCTCATCCAAGCTGCTTCTTCAGTTCTTCAGGATCGAGTCCACAGTCACGTGATCTGATCACGTGAAAGGATCGGGACAACCCTAGTTACACCCCTATTGATCAGTGACTATTACATTCTATAAAATAGGTCTATATAATATATGGGTTTGACTTTCTGAAATAAGTGACAAAAAATATTCTAATTATTTGTGAAGGGCTGGTCTTCTCCATGTCGTCATGTCTGTGTTTGTCCCTAAAGTCAGTTTGCCCTTGGAGTTGTTGAATGACAGAGTGACTCCTCTTCATTAAAATTCATGTAAAAAGGTGTTAGAACCTCCTGACATTCGGGCAGCACCACAATTTATTCTTGTACACTTTCTTAGAGTATAAGGATTGGATTTCATATTCAATAAATATTTGTAATTTACTCAAATCGAATAGGGACCAATCAGGGTGTTTTTAAAGTGATGCTTCTCCATATTTGAGCGCTGGCATCTGTCCTACATCCACAGAGCTATAGTTGAACAGATGGTTTTGTAAACACACTCTTCAGATTCATTCTGCTCTGAACAGGGCCCCAGTGAATAATGTAGCCCTGTTAACAGCTGCTCCATACTGTTACTGTACTGTCTGCTCTGACTGCTGTCTAACAAAACCACAAGCGCCAGGATTATCTACAGTATTACCTAGAACATATTGTCATACTTTTTTTTTTTCTCAGGTTCAAGAGTTGCCTTTAAGAGCCTTTTTCAGTTCTGAGGAAACCCATGGAGTGCACCAACCCGTGTAATAAAAACAAAAATAACAAAATGAAAAAAAAAACAAAACTATTGGTCTCCAAAATCAAAATGAAAAAAACGGGCAACGACTTGTTTTTTCAGTTTTCAATTTTATCAATTTTGTGTTTAAATGAATGATGGAAAAAACGGAGAGCGCTTTCCCGTTTCCGTGACTTAAACTGTGATGCCGGACTTTTGCGCCGTATACGGACTGAACCAGGACTAAATCGGAACTAAAACAGGACTAAACCAGGACTGAAACAGGTCTAAAACAGGACTGAACCAGGTCTGAACCAGGAATGAACCAGGAGTATCGGGATGGGCCCAAAGGTGCGCCCGTGTAGACTGTTGGGTGATCAGAACTGAGACCGGGATCAGGACTGAGACCAGGACCAGTCCAGGATTAAGATTGGGACCAGACCGGGACTGAAACCGGGACCAGGACCAGGACTGAGAGCGGGATTGAGACCGAGACAAGATAAGGATTGAGACCAGGACCAGACCTGGACAGAGACCAGGACTCAGACCGGAACCAGACCGGCACTGAGACCAGAACTAAGACTTGTTTAGTCCTGGTTTAGCCTGGTTTAGACCTGGTTTAGTCCTGGTTCAGTCCGTATGCAGCGCAAAAGTTGTTATATAAATACATCGTTAAGTAATTCTGTAAAAATAGTAGTCTTTGTGCAGAATTCAGTTAAATTATAATCCTGTGAGTGCAAAGATAGAGACAAAGAGAGAGACATTTTGAGTGTTTTTGCCACACCCCCTTTTTCTGTCAACTAATTGATCGGCCGGACATGTCTTTAGCCGATCAGGAATTTCAACTATAGGTCACGTACAGTTTGAGGAAAGGCAAAGGAGGCTGTGGCGAGCTTGTTGCGTGCTTGTTTGTGTGTCTGTCCCATCAGTGTCCCTCGGTGATGGACAGGGAATGTGCTGTGGCTCATTACACACACCATGTTTGGGGACGTCTGGCGGAGTGTAAAGTGGAGCGAAGAGAGGCAGGAGACGGCCCACGAATACAAATGATCCAACCCACTGTGCGTGCTTTCAGATATGGAGCGCCAAACATGCTGAGGATTTAAAGGCATTTTCTAAGTATCTGATAAAAGCTGACTATTAAAAATCTACTGGAAATATATGAGGTTTTCTCTTAAAAAAACATACGATCTTATATATATATACATATATATATATACATATATATATATATATATACATATATATATATATATACATATATATACACACATATATATATATATACATATATATATATATATATATATATATATATATATATATATATATATATATATATATATATATATATATATATATATATATATATATATAATAGAGTCATTATTCCTTCTTTTCAGACCTGATGGTGTTAAACTACTATTGTAGCTACAGCTGCCCTGGGGCAGACTGACAGAAGCATGGCTGCCATGCCAATCGGCACAATTGGTCCCTCCAACCAACACGCTGGTGTGACTGGTGCCCCCCTGTGGCACCTGAGTTTCCCAGTGTCTCCCATCCAAGTACTGACCAGGCCTGGTCCTGCTGAGCTTCTGAGATCTAACAGGATCAGGCTTTGACAAGCCTGTGTGGCCACATGTACACAGGGATATGAGTATCGTGTTTTCTGAATCCGGTATCCTGAATACTGCCATAACCAGGATACTGATGTGCATG